AAGGGATCCCCCCTTGCTTTTTGTCAGTCTACAGCTGGGCTAGACTGTGCTGTGGCAGTTGGTCCTGGCATGGTTCCTGGATACACCAGCTTTTGGAAGATGTCCAAATGCCATACCTTCTGAAAGCCTTTAGCTACCTAAGAGGATCTGGGGAGAAGTGGTCCATAATCCAGGTTCCAGTGTATGCTTAGAAAAAAAAAGAGAAAGTCATGCGTTTATCATGGCCTGCAGCCACAAAGACTGCGAACCAAGGATGGTCTGATCATGCCTTTGCACGGTGCTTCCCTTTACCAGAATACCTTTTCCACAGGAAAGCATTTCAGCAAACATTGCAGCAGTCAAGTCATTAGCTGTTAAAAAAGTCCAGTTGGGATCTGAGCTGCGGTTTTCAGAATGTGTGCATGCACTTGCACAGATATTTCCCCTCCCTCCCACAACCTCATTTTTGATTAGTGTCTAATTACTAGGCTCAAGCAAAATAGACCTTTACCTAAAAAGCCATTTCACATCTTTTGTATTTTAACAAGCACAAAAAGTCTAAATTTACACTATAAAACTGAACTGATTTTATGTAAGTGGCCACCACAATGTTTAACTATCTGGTTTTGTTTTCTTTCTGAAACATTTAAGTTTAGAAAGATTTTCTGTATCTCATTACACCTGAAAAACAGTGAAGTGGTAGATTTCTCCTTCTCATTGAATGCACTCTCTTTGTGCTCTTCCTTTTAGTAGTTGGCACAAACCAAAATCCTCTAATTACTGAAAATCTTGAAACTACACAACATTGAAAACATCATTCCAAGTTGCAGCTTACTTTTGGAAGGTATGAACAAAATGGCATAATTCTTAATATTCTTACCCTAAAATACACTGAGCTGGTTCATACTATGCAAGTACTGAAGAAGCAGAGTGTCCTTTAGCATTCCTGGTAAATTACAATTTCCCTGTGCTATGCCAAAAAAGCTTTCTGCTTCACCACTAACAACTTTTAAGTTCTCTATAGAGGTAGTAACACTGCATTCTTCTCACAAGTGAAGGATGACAGTGAGAACCTCTTCCCCTATTACAGTCATCCATGCAGAAATGATTAGGGAATGACTAAAGTGGGTGCATGTAAAGCTGTAACGTCTGCAAGTGTAACTGCAGTTGGGATCCAAGGGTAGTAATTTTCCTGGTGACCTGAGCAAAGCTGATGTGCCATGGTCACTGGTGTGTATGAAGGTGGTTGGATACCTTGCAGGCAGAGTTTTGTAGGCTGCTCAAAGGTAAATGACTTGAAGGGAAGTGCTTCTGGGGCTTCAGGTTCTGCCACTGTGCTCTGCTTGTGCACATGCTGAATGACAAAGTGGCTTGCTCCCAGGGCGAACTGGCTTCTTACTCAGGGGCATTTCTGGCAAGTGCCATGTGGTTACAGCTTCTGAGTTCTGTCTTTCATTTCTAGCTCCCTGGCACCTGAACTGAGACCAGACTTTTAACTTGATTGATTTTCGGATTTACTTTCTATGGGGCCACTTCTTGCCCCTATTCTGCTTGTCTCATTAAATCCTTCTAAAAGTATGTTCGTAAAATTCCTTATACAAAGTAAGGCCAAAGCACTCTGCCTTTCTCTGCTGATGCTATGGACTCCCTGTCACTTGAAAGCCCTAAATAGGATTTAGCATCTCTTCAAAGAGACACCCTGCCAAAATGAATAGTTTGAGGCAGGAATTACGAGTTGAAGATTCCTGGCCAATGAATCAGGTTAGCCTCTGGTTTCAGAGTATGTACTGGATGAGTAAACCTTATTGCAAATGCACTGATAGTTTCAGAGTGACAGTTCTTTTCATGCAGCAACAGCTGCTCATTGCTTTGTGATTAGCCTGCTTCATGTCTCCCAGTAGCACAGCAGGAAAGTTCAAGCCTTTCTGGTGATGAGTTTTTCACTCAGAAAGCCAGGGCACACATCCCAGGCCTCTGGGGCTCTGACCGATTGGGAAGTGCATTATAGAGCTCTGCTTCTCATTGCAGAGGCTGGCTTTACTCATGTTGGTGATAGCAATGTTGAGTGGCACTTAAGAGGGCTGCATGGAGCAGGAAATTAACAGTGTTCCCCACCCAGTGAATGCTCCTTCCTATTGCAGACATGCTGATGCGTAGAATAGCCAGCTAGGGCTCTTCCACCATATGTCACCTGCATCAGCCTCTCCTTGCAAGACAGTTTCATTTCTATATTAAACCTCAAATTCTCCTTCATGTTTTGAGTTCATTTTGCAGATGTGGAAATTAAGCAAAGCCTGACCAGTCAGCATCTGGTGAGTATGTAGGAAGCTTAGACAAGAAATAGCAGATGACTGCAGTGTACTGAGTTGTTACTATGCTGTGATGCCCTAACCCTAACCCTAACCCACGCCTAACCATGTGCTTCAGGAAGTTATGAAGTTAAAGCCAGCAGTGTTTTTCCATTGCCTGTTTGCTGGCCACACTGCTTTCCTCTCTGTTGTTCAATTCTTGATTCTGTCTCTTCAGCCCTGCCTCTGGGGAAAGGAGCTGATGTACTGAGACTCCAGCCCCTAGTCCTGACCTGAGACTGGGGCTGTTCTTGCTTCTTCAGGGCAAGAGTGTCATCCCATCAGTGCTTGCACTGCAGTAGGGTCCTCTGGGATGCCCACAGGCTGGTGTGGTGTCCTTCAAGCTAAATAACCATCTGCTTGACAGAATGAATCTTGTTTCAGTGGTAAATACCCTGTCTGTATCTGAGTGTGTACAGATATTAGAGCACCAGTAAAAGCATAGCACATGTCTGCTTTTTACAAACTGTACCCTCAAAGTAACGCTGCTCTCTTCGGTCCCCAGTATAACACTAAACTACATAACAATTGAAACTGATGTGGCCTATTGTGTACAGGGGAGTTGTACAAGGGGGTTAGACAAAATGTACAGGGGGGTTGTACAGGGGGGTTAGACAGAATGTACGGGGCAGAGGGGTTGTACAAGGGGTACTGCTTAAGTCATAGCTGGCTTGACAAGCTCAGCAGATGTCTTATCAGGCAGTACCAGGACAGAACCTCCTAATGAGGAGAATAGGGGGGTTGTACAAGGGGTACTGCTTAAGTCATAGCTGGCTTGACAAGCTCAGCAGATGCCTTATCAGGCAGTACTAAGATAAAACTTCCTAACGAAGGGAATAGCTCATTAAACCAGCTGGACATAGACCAGACCCATCCAGCTCCTAAAGAGCATGCGTGAGGACCAGAGGTAAAAAGTTCAAGCCTGAGGCAGACTCGTTTACTTCATCTTGAAGACCCCTACCCACAAGAGGAAGACTACTTACTTCATCTGAAGACCCCTGGCCAAGACCACCAGGAGGCACTGCGCATGCGTGGAGAGCCTTTTAGCTCTTTATAATACGGGCTAGAATATGAATATGTATAGGCGTATTGTGCTACCTAATACATATGTATGACTTTACAGGATAAATGTAAAAGGAAAACGGCACTGAGGTACGCATGCCTTTCGGAGGACCAATCCCCCCGTGCGCCTTCAGCTGAATAAAGCATACCTACTTTACAACTTTAACCAAGTTGTGGAGTCTATTCCGCTATCAACAATGATTCATCAGATGATCCGCTTCCTAAAGCATTGACTTCCTGTTTGTTTACACACACAGAACGTGGAAGGAGGAAAGGGTTTTTACACAATACATATTGCAATCCACACCAATGTCCTTTTTGGAAGGTATAGCTACATTATCTACATGTGTGTACCTGCATGCAGTTTAACAGCTTTTAGACACACCGAATTCCTAAAGTTAGGGCAGTTTAAGACTATAAACAAAGCTCCAGAGAATCTTCTTAAATATTAAAGAGCACATACACAGAGGCAAGAGACCAGACAGGGTGAGTCTTTCCATAGAGACCTTCAGCAAAGATGCCCATCACCACACAGAAGAGGAGATCCTCAGCCACCGTTTAGTGCTACACCTGGGTCCTGGTAACTGATGCTGGAGAGAGTATTTTGGAAACACCGGGAAAGGTCTCAGCTTCTGCTAGGAAAGCACAGCCCTCAAGCCACTCTTTGAGCAACTCTGACTTTTCCATAGAGGTGTCAGGCTGTTAATGGCCGTGGGGTGCCGCAAAGCAGTTTGACCCCGAGGCTGGTGCGCTGTGCTGTTAAATTTGATGCCTGGTGTTTTAAGATCCATCTGTTTATACCCCTTATTCAGTGAATTCATGCTAAAAGGCAGGTGCTTTAGGCAAGTGATCGCGGCCGACTGGCACAGCCTGGCGGGGACGGCCCGCACGGATTCACTCTTAACGTGCCAGCTGCAGATGGAGCAGCCGCTTCTGCCGCCTCGGGAAGCGAAGGGGCCAGGCTCGCCCGCGGCGCACCGGCTGCCGGGCAGGGCGCGTTGCCGGACCCCGGCCGCTCTGGGGGCACCGGCCCTTCCGCCGGCGGCGGCGGGGCCCGCCTCGGGGGGGACACACAGCGACACCCTCACGCCGCTCGTCATGCTCGGTGCGGACTCTGGCCCCCCCGCGGCGCGGGCTGACGACAGCGGAAGCCAGGCAGCGGGGCCGGGCTGAGGCCGTCGCGGTCGGCAGCGGGGCAGAGGCGGTGCCGCTCCGCTGCGCTCGGCGCCGTGCCCAGCCCAGCCCAGCCCAGCCCAGCCCAGCCCAGCCCAGCCGGCCCGGCCCGCTCCCGCATGAGAGAGGCAGCGGGAGAGCCAGGCCGCACCGCGCCGCCGGCATGTCCACGCACTGCTGCGCCGGCCAGGTACGGGGCTGGCGCGCGGGAGGCCGGCAGGTGCTCTGCGGGAGGTGCGGGAGCCGCCAGCAGCACCGCACCGCAGCGCGCCGGAGCGCGACATCCCCGGGACACGGCGCGGGGCCCGGGCGGCGGTGCGGCGGCTGTCTGGGGAACCGGGGTACCGCCAGGGTGGTGACGCCTGTGGCGGGGCACGGAGAGCCCGGGACAGGACCGGACAGGTCAGGGCCTGGGGTCCGCGTCCTTCCCCTGCCCCCGGCCGAAGCCTGGCGATCTCCGCGGTGAGGCTCCGGGGGAGCCGTCCTCCAAGCGCAGGTCGGGCGTTAAACGCGGGGAGCCGAGTGCCGCGGGGGTGCCCGTCCGTAGAGCCGGGCTGTTCGAGTGCTTGCAGCGGTGTTTCAGGGGAGGGTCCTGGTGGATTCCCCGTGTGTTTCGGGGGGAAAGCTGATCGCCACCTGCCTCCCCTGGGTGCATCTCCGCCTGCGCCGCGCAGTGGGGTGCGGGTGGGACAGGGACGCTGCAGCCTGCCCTGAGAGGAGCAGCTCCCAGAGGGGTGACGGATCATTCGGAGCGACGAGAGGCGGTCAGGTAGTTGCCACTGGTGCCTGGTGCTGGGGAGGTGAGAAGTGTGAAAAGTGGAATGGACTTAACATTTCTCTTAACTGCTGGCTGCCTGGCGCTCCTCAGAGCCTTCCACGAGCTCTTTCAAAGCTGGCTTGTGGGAAGATTCAGCAAGTGCAGGTGCTGGAGGAGGAAGTGAGAGATGAGAGCAAGTGGTGACGGAGGGCAGTGCAGGACCTTCAGCATCTATGGGGTGAGGAGTCAGTGCTCCACGTTTTACCAGGGTGCGCCTTGTTTCTTGACTGCACAACCTCTCATGAATGAAGGACCGTGGAGCTGCAGGAGAAGGGTGGTCGCAATGCCGTGTCCAGACCTGCTCCTTGGTTTCACTCCAGGGAAGGATTCCTGTCCTTACTAGTTGCCTCTCTAGTGTGGTGTTAGACTGCATCTCCATCAGACACTTTTATTTTGTGCTTCATTTTCCCAAATCTCGGCTTCTGCAATAGAAACCCATTACTACATGTGTACTGCTTACTGGCCATGTCCCATATGCAATGGACTAGCCAATTAGTGTATTCCTGTTGTTTTGAATATTTAAACACTTCGCGGTTTTAAATCTAGTGGTGTTTCATCTTTGATCACTCTGCCCACCCTCAGCGTCTTATTATTCTCTTGCTTTTGTGTGAACCAACTGGAAGAAAGCCTCAGATCTCTCCTGAAGGTTGAATCCTGGGCTAGCTTTGGTCTTCTGGCTGTGGTTCTTCCAGTCTTCATTGGGCTGGGGGGACTGCTGAGCGTGCCTCCGCACGCCCGCCCTCCAGGAGCTCCCCCATGCCTTGCCAAGCAGCCCTGGGTGGTCTCGGCAGACAGCAGTAACCAACCACGTTTGCTGATGTTCCTCTTAGAGCAGGGCGCCTCCCTGACTGCTGCTTCAAGTCCATTTTGGCAGCTTGTGAAGCAGCTTCTGGAGCAGCTCACAAAGTGCTGTTAATGGGTGCTGCTACTGCCGTGGTTCGTGGCCATTTGCATTTGCATGGCTTTTTCTTGGTGTAACTCCTGGAGAAGTAACTCAGTGCCAAGAGGAGGGAACCTTTGAGAGACTCGTGTGGTGAATGGCATAGCTTCAGTGTGATCAAACTTTGAGGCATTCTTAAAGCCATTGCATAGTAATATCTGAAAGTAATGCACTTTATTGACACTGATGTGTCACTGTGGAGTCTGTAAATAAACTGAACTCCTCAGTGGTGCTGGAACGAAAGCAAAAGCCCTGAAGTGCATGCAGTCATAGTGCCAGAATTATGTAATACCCTGGGGAGATGTATTCTGCTGGCTGAAGCACTATTCTGGATGTAAGACTTATCTGTGCTAAGTATGGCATATTGCTGGAGTTACACCAGCAAACTTAGTGTGGATAACCTTTTTACAGGCTAAGATGATAAATGGCATAAACCACATTTTGATAGCATGCAGTGTAATTTTTGTTAAAAGAAGAATGGTCTGCTTCATGGCTTGATTTATTCCAACTTTGATGAGGGGATGTTTGCTTAACATTAATCAGAAAAACAAAAGGGATAGAAGTTCTTCTTTCCCTCCCAACCCAGCTTCCTCAGGTATTTTATGGGTAGTGTTAATCAAGCTGGAAAACTGAGAAGGAATTTGGCTGCTGCTTAAATGTTCCCCCAAAGATGAAGTTGACCCTGTCTCCAGAAACAGAGATGGTGTGCCTGAGGACAGATGGAATTTTATACAAGTCCTGAAAACCAACACTGAGGTTGGGTCCCTCCTTTTTCCCTAAAATATATTGGTTTAATGGGGTTGATATCCCCTGGGGCAAAGGGCTTTTACAAAAAAGTACTTTTGTCATGTATATATCTTGTATCCATCTCTGTTTTTGTGGATCTGCTTTCCTAGAACTGCCTGCAAACTGGTATTGTCCTTCTGAGCTGTGAACCTGCAGTTACCCAGTGTGGATGTCCATAGCTGATATTAGAGTTCTGTTGTAAGTTAACATCCCTTGAGTACCCATTTTATTCTCCTTGAGTAATGCCAGCACATTTTCCTGGTGTGAAGTAGATACTGAGTGATCCGTACTTTTGGGTCAAACCACGCTAAACATCTAGTTGATGATGCCTGTCTGAATAAATGAATTCAGGTTTCACAGCCCAGATTCCTGTTGTTAAAGGATACAGCGGCAGGCTGCCAAACTTCAATGTACTTCAGTTATGCTGATTTTGCACTCAGAATTATTTAGAATAGTCTTAATTAATGTTGCTGTGGGACTTGTATCCTTGCCAAGGGGACCCTGGGAACTTGGTTTCAGGGAACTTGGCCATTTATAAATTGTAATTTCTGAAGTTGTTTTTTATCAAGAAGTGTATAATCTTTCGAAGAGAACTGCAGTTTTTAGGTTTCTGAGCTGTAATAAGCTTGCTAAGTGTTTCTTCTTTTGCTAGTGCTTCATTGGTAGGCCTATTTTGAGAACACAGTGAGAATACAGTTTGGCTTGGGCCTCCACAATGCTTTTGATTACATAAAAACATCTGCTTAAATTGACGGGAAACAGGATTTTACATTTGGCTTTTCTTCAGTAGTTATTCTCAAGGGAATAAAGTTGAGATCATGGTTAAGAAAAGCAGCTGTTGCAGAAAATCTTTATTACAATGAATATGTTTTTTTCCAGAGTTAAATAAATGCAATTTAGATAGTTAACATTAATTGGGGGGGGGGGGGGTAGTATTTTGTAACTGGATTTTTTCAAGAAGGTGGATTTTTCAATAAGAACTGGTAGTTATCAAAGCTTATAAAGCCATTTCTGAAGGTCTGTTAAATCTTGAGTGATTTTCTTAGTATCATTTGGCACTTAGAAATCATATGCTATAGTAAATGCAATAAGAGTGTAAGATTTTTATTTATACCCAGACTTCTTTATTCTAAGTTTTGGGAGTTTAGGGGTTTGGTTTTGGGTTTAGGTTTTGGATATTTTTTTTTTTTAATAGAAAATAAGTGCTTTATTTGTAAGACTGGCCTCAGGCAATCTTACAACTTCTGAGGCTCATGGCTTTTGGGGCAAGGGAGGGAAGCCCTGCCATGTGCTCCATGGCTGCATGCCTCTCTGGTACTGTCTGTTTGCATCTGCAGGCTGAGGAGGGTCTTGCAGTCCTGTCCTTGTGGTCTTCTCTTTTCATCATAGGGTGAAAATGGTGGCTCTGTCATCCTTGTCCAGGTTTGTGTCCCCTGGGGATGTTGGGGCATTGGTGGGAGCATGTGTGTGGTGTGATATGCTGCAGTGCTGTGTGATGGTTCCTGGCTCCGCTCCACATGGTGCTCCCCAAAACACCTCCTGCCTTTTCAAGCCACTGCCACTGCCATTTATCACGGCCAAAGAAGAAACTAGCTGTCTGTGCTCTGTATTGTAGTGCATTCCACTTAAATGCAGTTAGGAAAAACAGATTTGTGAAGAACTTTTCCCCCTGGTTTGCAGAAACATGGAGGTTTTGTTTTAAATAAATGGCTGCCTGAACAACTGAGTTAGCAAAGCCTACTTTTCTGCAGCTTTGTCCATTGAGCTTGGTATCTTACATCTATTCCCTACCTGTTAAATACTGAACTCGTGTTGCAGCCTTTTCCTTGCTCAGGTTTGAGAGATCATTTTTCTCTGCTAAACCTTTTGCTTATTTTGAAGGAAATCGTAATAATGTAATATCTTTGAGGCCCCTATCTGCCTGCTGTAGCTGGATAAAATTTGCTGCTGGAGTCAAAAGTGATTAGATAGGGAAGAAAAGGCAACGAAAAGCCAGTGAGATCCTTGAAGTGTTGTATCATTCGACACTTGCATCACTATGTTGGAATCTCTGCCTTGGCACTGCGTAAGAAGCAGAAGAGACTGTCTCATTCTAGCAGAAGATAGTTTTTCTCCTTCCTGTTTAATCTTCCATTGCTGCTTAATATATTTTTTTTTAGTCTTTTTCTCTCACATCCCACAATTTGGTTGCATTCTGGGTTTAAAGAAACAGCTTAAATATCCATGGCTCTACAGCTGTGGAGTGAAGGCAGTATAATATAAGAACAAGACCTTCACTTTTAAGGGCAAGGGGATACTTTTCTGCAGAAGGATGTAAGTCCTAGTACTGCTTTTATTTGAATTTTCACAAGTGTAGGTATTCCAGGGTGCTTTTGCTGTCACTGAGACTTTCATTACAGGGGATGCACTCACAGCTGGTGGTGCAAGACACTCTTGTTTTAGGGGAGCCTGGAAGCCTGAGCTACGACTACAGGATAAGCTGAAGGTCTCATATGGAGGTGGCAACTGCTGCTGACTACTGTCATCCCGAATACCTGCTGAGGCTAGGTGATGTTCTCAACTTACCCACGTGAAGATGCTTGGACCTTAGATTGCTTCCAAGGTTCTTCGCATACCTGAATTAATGACACTTTCATTTCTTTCTTAACTGTGTGGGCTCCAATATGTTTTTACATGTTTATTTCCTGGCCTCCTAGAATTTTAGGCTGTGATCAACCATTCTGCCAACTGAATTTTGCCTACTGCATTATTCAGGCCACCAAAGAGACAGGCTTCAATGTCAGCATGTGCTACAGCATGAGACAGTGAGGCACTGGGGCAGCCAGAGCTGAGGATGACAATAGTGTTCATCCATGATAGCATGTGTGGGAAGGTGGCCCCATGTTTGTTTTTAATGGAGTCCTGACACACCCAGTAATCTCATTTCACTTTAATTAGTGATAACTATGCTGGGACTGATGTGTGCAGTTTAGTGGTTGGAGCTTCCAGCAATTAGAGGTGGTGTGTGCTCAAGTATTTAAACATACAAATGTTCGCAGCTGGAAAATGAAAAGTTTTGCACTTCTTTCTGTCTAGTGCAGGGCTGATCCAAAATTTGTCACCCTGTCATCTCTCACACTGACTTTTAGCAGGAACCGTTCTTAGCATTCTTAGCTATCTTATATGTTTTTTTTTTTCCCTTGGCTTATGTTACAGTCACTGGCAAAACAGTGTTCAGGAGTACTAGTCAAGATACTTCTTGAGTAGTCACTGTATTTCAAAATGCTCATCAAGAAGTAAGCAATAGAAGATGTGAGCAGGCTCCATCTTGAGACTGCCAATCTGGAAATGTATGAAGTTGGCTCCTGGTGACACTGATCTAAACTGAAATATCTTTGACAGTGCTTTGAGAAGGCAGATATTTTTAATTTTTTTTTTAATGTGATGTGGTGGTATGACATGATAGTTCATGT